ACCTGAGCCGAAGGCAGTCGCTTAACCAACTGAGCCACCCAGGCGCCCCCAATTGCCTGGATTTAATGTTCAGGATTTTCAACCACACCAAGGCTTGTAATCAGAAAACGTGTAAAAGCTATCAGAAGTGGCAATGACCATTTGATAAAGATCCAAAGCTGCAAAAATCATACCTGAGTGTGAAATACAGACCCTCCCAGATGCCACATTACTTCTGCTTCTCGAAACAAGATCATTAAATTGGCGTATATTTTAAATGCTTACATAACATGTTCAACGCATATTAATAAAATACAACATAATGATACCATTCACATGACAATTAGAGGATTTATTAAAAATGTTCAGATATTTGAACACTTAGTATAGTCCTGTAATGGGACACATGTTTAAAGTTATTTGATGTTCTTCTGCCTTGGGTCAGCTTCCCAGAAGTGACCCCTGGGATGAAAATTGAGTATATAGGATTTATTAAGGAAGGGCTTCCCAGAGAAAGCTGTTAGGGAGTGAGGAAACAGGACAGGAAAGGAGAAAAGTCAAGCAGGAGTGTGCTTTCTGGAGATGTGCTGGCCAGTATGACCCCACAGGGAGCTCTGGAGTTTAATCAGGACAGGACAATGCACTCTTGCACCAGTGATGGCGGCAGGGAAGGGGAGAAGGAAACCCACGGGCACTTGGTGACTCAAAGCATCTCCCCTTACCTGAGCCTGTCTTCAGAAAGAAGAGCCACTCTGAGGGCACTTAGGAACAAAGCACACAGAAGCCAGCAGAGGGGCATGCAAAAATGATTCCGGGGATCTGAGAGAGTCTGGGCAGAGCTGGCCATGTCTCACACGTCTTCTGTGTTTGCCATCCTTTGATGTTGTCAGTGTATCTCTGGAGATAATATCAAACTACAGTTGAAGACCTTCTTGAAGGTAGCTATATGCAGCTCATCCAGATGACTCCTCTAGTCCTAGTATGCTGGGACCTAGGACGACCAAGATGATGAGTGAAAGTGCCAAGGGTTAAAGTAGCAATCTTCCTAAAATCTCTTGACATTTCTACATTATACCCCCAACATTTTTTAAATTAAACTTCTTATTTTGGAAAAATTGTAGATTCACAAGCAGTTAGTTGTAAGAAATAATACAGGAAGATCTCCTATAAGCTTTACCCAGTTTCCACCAATAGTATCTTTTTCAAAACTATACTACAATGTCACAACCACAATATCCACCTTGATACAGTCAAAATTCAAAACAATTGCATCACACAAGGATTCCTCGTGTTGCCCTTTTATAACTGTACCCACTTCCTCCTACTGACTCCCTCCTTAACACCTAATCTATTCTCCATTTCTACAATTTTATCATTTCAAGAATGTTATGTAAATGTAGTCCTATAGCATGTAACCTTTGGGGATTAACTTTTTGCGCTGCATAATTCTCTGCAGATTCAGCCGTGTTGTATGTATCAGCCTGTCATTCCTTTTTATTGCTGAGTAGTGTTCCACAGTATGTGTGTACCACAGTCTGTTCAACCATTCACTCATTGAAGGAACATCTGGGATATTGCCAACTTTAGGTCATTACAAACAAAGCTACTATAAACATTCCTGTCCAAGTTGTTGTGTAAACATAGGTTTTCATTTCCCTGTGATCCAAGCCCAGCGGTGTAATTATTGGGTTGAATGTTAGCTGCATGTTTAGTTTCTTAAATAAACTATCAAACTGCTTTCCAGAGTGGCTGCACTATTTTACATCCTCACCAGGAATGCATGTGTGATCCACTTTCTCCTCTTCAGGTCAGCATTTCATATTGTCAGTATTTTTCATTTTACCCACTCAGGTATGTATATAGTAATATCTAATTGTGATTTTAATCTGCATTTCCTAACTGGCTAATGATTGTGAACATATTTTTATGTGTTTGTTTGCCAGCTGTATATCTTCAGTGAATTGTTTGTTCATGTTTTTTGGCCACTTTCTAATTAGATTTTTTTGCTGTTGAGTTTTGAGTTTTTTATATGTTCTAGATACTAGCCCTCTGTCAAATATGTGGTTTGCAAATATTTTTTCCAGTCTATAGCTTGCCCTTTATCCTTTTTCTGGAGTCTTTCACAGAGCAAAAATTTATTATTTTGATGAAATGCAATGTACTTGTTTTTCCTTTAATGGATCATATCAGCTCTAAAAACTCTTTCCCTCCCCCTATATCCTAAAGATTTTCTCCTGTGTTTTTCTTTCCTAAAAGTTTCATAGTTTTACATTTTATGTTTAAATCCATAACCCATTTGAGTTAATGTTTATGTAAAGTGTGAGGTTTGTTCTCTTGCCTACAGATGTCCAATGTTCCAACGCCATTTGCTGAAAAGGCTCTCCTTCTTCCAGTTAAGTATAATGTCCGTAGCCTCCTCCTTGTGGAGTCACCGGGGCTGGTGGAGCTCCTCCACTGAGGCCCCTGCTGCTAGAAGGCAGTCTTCCCACAGAGCCCTCTCCGGATTACGTCAGGGCGTCTTCCTCTTACCTGTTCCCCGGCCCCAGGGCACGGCGTCCTCCCTTGTGGTTTCCCCATACTCTGCCCACACCTTTGTAAAGAGTCCCTTTATTAAACCCTCCTCGAATTCCCCAATTTAAGTGAGCCATCTGTTTCCTGTCAGGACCCTGATACGTCCTGCAAATGATACATTTTCCAAAACCCAAACATGAGACATATACTGTCAATTGTCACAAAGCAATGATCATTTATTTTTTTTTTTTGAAAAGTCGTTTACAGGTATTTAGAGGCAAATGGATTTCCAGTTTAAAACAGATGAAGATAAGTGTGTGTCATTAAAACAGCATGCAATCAAACATTTCTACTGTTGTTTCATCTTGTTTTAACTGTGTCTGTGGTACTTGTAAGTGCAGTATTTGCTTACCTAACTACTATAACATTGCAGTCAAATACTGATTATCCATGTACTGGTGCATCATGTACCAGGATCCATGTACTGCTCATATCATTTATAGTCTCTGCATCTATTTCTATCAGGAACATTTTCCTGCACCCGACTTAACACCCTGCTCAACCAGACTGAGACCACAACCCCTGCTCTGTCTCAGATGGGTGACTAGGTCACCCACAAATTTCTATGACCTGTACTCATGCTGACCCCCTTTTGTGAGGACAGATCACCAAGAACAAGGCATATATAAAATTGATGAAAGAGCCATTATTTCCCAGTTGTGTAAAAGGAAACAAACCTACCTAAGCAATCAGGGGCAGTAGAAGTAGAATAAAATCATAAACCTTTACAGAAAAAAATATTACAGTTGTGTGTGCTTGATTTCTGATGATTTCTACCCCCCAAAAGTTTCTTGTCTTTTATTTAAAACTTAGCAAATATATCACAGTTACAAAGATTAAGTTGTATCTACATAGCCAAAATGAAGTGGGGTTAAGGCAACTGTCCAGATTACTCAGGATAAAAAAGCATCCTAAACTAATGACGAAACCACTCTATGCAAAGGCAGGTAAAAAGCTGAAGCCGTTTTCTGCTACTCCGAACAACCGAATCCACCTCCACCATCACTACAGAGAGTGCTCTAAAGTGTCTTGTTTGTGATGGGAAGGCTTGGGGTCTCTGCTACTGAATGTCGGTGCCAGTCGTGCCGTTCATTCTGTGACTATAGATACAGACTAAGGGAAAAAGCTCATTTCACCTTCATTATACAAACTGACTATCAAAGCTGACCCCTAAGAAATGGAAAACTGGCTTTTTATAGGCGCATCTTATGTTAGGGCTGAGACAGACCTCTGAATTCACCTAGCCCAAGTTCCTTATTTCATAAACAAGGAAATTGGAGTCCAGATGGGTTCAGCAGCTGGCTCAAGGTCACATCGAGAGACCTGGCCAGCACTTTTCTCTACACGACACTTAGTCACACCACCAGTTGACCAGGGTACCTACATGCGGCGAACCTTTCCAGCTATTTCCTTCAGTATGTCTCCTCCCTTCTGCATTTTGTCTGATCATATCTAGAAAAGATGCTAAGGACACAGTAGGTGAGAGACTATGATTCAGTCACAGCCAGTCAAGAGGATATTTCCTGATATTTTCAAATGAATTCAATACTTTAAATAAGAATGAAACCAATTTGGATGTTGAATATGAAGAACGCCGGCTTGTCTGCCATGTTTTAAATCCAGGCGTTCATGAGCTTCCTTTGCTTGTAGGGTGGGGGCGGAGGGGAAGGAAAGAGGGAGAAATATGGTGAAATAGGAATGACTGATAGATTTGTCCTCTCTTCAGCTTATGCTATCCTGCATACAAACAGTCCGAATAGCAAAGATCGAGAAATACTAGGCCAAAGAATTTAGGCTCCAACCCTTTAACTTGTAAATCGGACAGGCCAGTGAAACAGACCAATGCTTTTAGTGGCTTTTGATTTGATTCCACTGGCATAGACAGAATCCAAATTCAACATCAAATTTATTTTAGCATTGCAGTGAAAGTGCTACTAAACAGAAAATGTAATAAAGTCAGTAACTATCAAGCAAATAGCTTCTTATTTTTGTAACAAGGAAAAACTTTTTTTGGCAAATAGTTCTATAGTTAGAGAATATGAAGACACTTAGAACTAATCTCCCCAATATGAAAATGTCCCCAAATTATCAAGTTGAAAGGCACATACCACTGCCCCAGCAGTTCATCCAAGTAGTCTCTAGCATGGGAAATTTCAATTGTGCTTTTAGCTTGCTATCAATGTAATATGGCCTTAAAAAGTGACATCCGTGCATATGTATAATTTCTTTTCAAATGGACCAATCCTCTTCCCCTTTTCTGATTTTCACTTTCTGAAGATCCATCTTTGTTAGTTCTTTGTCTTATAAAGGACATAGTCCATGATGGTCTTGGAAAAAATGTACTTCACAGTTTGTGCTCTATTTTGTCTATAATCCAAGTTAGATTATCTTTGTGTCCTAACACAAAATGAACTTTCTTGAAATACCAGTGTGATGGTACTTCCAAAATGTCATTTGTTGGAATGCAAAAGTCCTGGATTATTATCTTTTCTCACTGGTTGTTTAAGGCTTACTTCGCTTCCAGAAGAGATGATTGGCAAACTGTTATCCATGTGGTATCTGATAAGGTGGCCGACATTATCAAATACATGATCCTTGGTCCTTACCTTGAAAAGCAAGTACAAAGTATTAGGTTAAATGATAATAGTTCTCCTGAAAGATGTAAACAATCAGGAAAAAAAACCAGACACATCTCTGAAGGAGATACTTGGCTGAATAACAAAAAAAAAGACTTTTCAACTCTATATCCCTTAGTAAACACTTGTCTCATTCCCCATTACCTTTTTTAGCAATTTTCCCTCTAGGTTAGAAAAATGATAAACACTGTCACCCAATCCAAACATGCAACCAACCTCTTTGCCATGTTACTGTTTGATATATTCTATCATGCTACCATTCCTATAAATATTTAACTGTATATACAAGCATGAATCCCAGGATTACAATTATAACCCAGCAAGCAGACTGTTTCCAAAATATCTTGTGTCTATAGGAAGCAGGCCCTTCTAGAGAAGTCCTGCCTCTCCTTGGAGGCTCAGCACAAATCCTGTCTACTTCAAGAAGATTCCTCAGACTCTTCTAATAGGCATTCATGTCTCCTTCCTGCAGACTTCATGGTAGCTGATTCATAAATATTTGTTATATGGAGCTTCTTGTCTGCATGCCAAAGCAACTTGGTTTCCCTGCACCTGCTTTCTCCTGAGGACTTTCCTCCCTGGTATTACTGTGTCCTCACCCTGGGCATGAGCAGAAGATACTACTCTCCATCATGACGCCACTGGCCGTAATATACTCCTGTGTGGAGGGTGGCTGAGAATTGCCCAGGAGCAGGAAATCATGCAGCCAGAGAATACCTTGCTACATGATTCTGCTACCTCTCTAACAAGGGACTATTTAGTTCTGTTTAGATACTGGTTTTCAGCATATTAAAGGAAACACACATTTTTTGGAATAATTGACCTAATTTGAATATAACTATGAATTAGATCATGGTAATGTATCAATGTTTAAATTTCTTGATTTTGATCACTGTACTGTGTCTGTGTAAAAGAATATCCCTATTCTTGGGAAATACGCAGTCAAGGATTAAGAAGAAAAGGGCACAAGGTTTCCCACTTACTCTGAAATGGCTCCAAGCCTCGAAAACATTTCGATCTCCTTCATCTCAACGCCAATCCTTGTCAAATCAGTTGATCAGTCCTGCCAGCCTGTGGTGTAAGTTACAGCTCACTCTGCCCTCCTCTCTCTATTTCTCCTACCTCCATTCTGGTTCAGGCTTTCACCAGTTTTTACCTAGAATCCCCTAATTACTTTCTTCTCTAAGCAATCCTGCAGACAAATGTCGAGTTAATCTTCCAGTGCAGGGATTATAAACTATCCACTCTCCAGCCAAACATACCAGGAGATGTTTTCATTTGCTGGGGAGAGTGGGGGGACGGTTTAAGGTAGAAGGCGCCCAACAGAGAGTTTTTAAGTATTCTGAATTAAAAATGCAGAGATCTCCTATAAAAATTTCGTTTTGTGGCTTCTTTGGGAAAATCACATCTGGCTACCCTGGGCCCTTACTCCAAATGGCAGCAATTGACTGGAACTGCATTTGACTGTCCCTCTTCCTAGTTGATCACAGCCCCCTGCACTCCATGAGCTTTCCACCATTTGCCCAGGTTTACACACGGCAAATATGGGCTGCTGCGGCCCCAGTCACAAGGTGCACAGGAACATGTGTGTGTGTCTGTGTGAGTGTGTGTGTGTGTGTGTGTGTGTGAGAGAGAGAGAGAGAGAGAGAGAGATAATAAAACCATAACATGAGATGTAGCCCCTGAACAAGTTGTTAAGTGTTCAACACTGTAGTTAACTTTAAGCACAATGCCGTACAGCAGATCCCTGGAACGTTTTCATCTTACGTGACTGAAATCTATAACCATTAAACAACAACAACCTGTTTCCTCCTCCCCACCGGGCCCTGGTAACTACAATTCTACTTTCTGTTTCTATGAGTTTGACTACTTTTGATATCTCATATAATTGGAATCATGCGGTACTTGTCATCCTGTGGCTGGCTTATTTTAACTAGCAGGATATTCTCCAGGTTCACTCATGTTGTAGCACGTGACAGACTTTCGTCTTCTTATGGCGGAATAGTATTCCGTTGTATGCGTGTGTATGTATACACACCCCACATTTTCTTAATCCATCAAGGAACATTAAACTTGTTCCTACCACTGTGAATAATGCTGCAATGAAGATGGGAGTGCAAATATCTCTTTAAGGTCCTTATTTCCATTCTTTTGGGATAAAAACCCATCCAATAAATATGGACCATATAGGAGTTCTATTTTTAATTTTTTGAGGACACTCCATACCGCTTCCCACAGTAGCTACACCACTTTACATTCCCATGAACAGGGCACAAGGGTTACAATTTCCGTACACCCTCACCAAAACTTGTTCTTTTCTGTTTGTTTGTTTTTTATAATGGCCATCCTAACAGGGGTGAGGTGATATCTTACTGTGAATTTGATTCCATTTCCCTGATGATTATGGTTGTTGAGCATCTTTTAAAATATCTGCCGGCCATATGTAGATCTTCTTTGGAGACATGACTATTCAAGTCATCTGCTCATTTTTAAATCGGTTGTTTTTTTTTTACTATTGAGTTGTAGAAATTTCTTATGTACTTTGAAAATTAACCCCTTATCAGATGGTTTGCAAATATTATCTCCCATTCTGATTGTCTTTCACTCTGTTGATTGTTTTCTTTGCTGTGCAGAAATTTTTTAGTTTTATATAGTCTCACTTGTCTGTTTTTGCATTTGTTTGTATTTTTGGTGTTATATCCAAAAAATCATTGTCAAGAGCAATATTATGAAATTGTCCTCTTATGTTTTCTCCTAGTTTTACAGTGTCAGATCTTACATATAAGTCTTTAATCTATTTTGAGTTAATTTTTGTGTGTGGTGTAATATAGGGGTCTAATTTTTTTTTAAATATTTTTTTAAAGATTTCTATTTATTCATGAGAGACAGAGAGAGAAAGAGAGAGGCAGAGGGAGAAGCAGGCTCCCAAGGAGCAGGGAGCCCAATGCGGGACTCGATCCCAGGACTCTGGGATCATGACCTGAGCTGAAGGCAGACGCTTAACCATCTGAGCCACCCAGGCGCCCTAGGGGTCTAATTTTATTCTTTTGCATGTGGATATCATTTTCCCAAAACCATTTGTTGAAAAGAGTATTGTTGCCCTATTGTGTATTCTTAGCAATATCTGCAAAGATCATTTGGCCATATATGCATAGGTTTATCTCTGGGCTCTCTATTCTGTTCCACTGGTCTCTCTGTCTGTCTTCATGCCAGTACCATACCGGCTTGATTACTCTAGCTTTGAAATCAGTGTGATGTCTCCAGCTTTATTTTTCTTTCTCAAGATTGTTTTGGCTATTTAGGGTCCTCTGTGGTTCCAAATGAATACTAAGAGTGTATTTCTATTTCTATAAAAAAATACTATTAGAATTTTTGTGGAGATTGCATTGAATTTGTAGATTACTTTGGGTAATATGGAGATCTTAACAATATTAAATCTTCTAATCCATGAACATGGGATGTCTTTCCATTTGTGTCTTCTTTAATTTCTCTCAGTCAGCAATGTTTTGTAGTTTTCAACATGTAAGTCTTTTGCCTCCTTGGTTACGTTTATTCTTAAGTATTTTATTCTTTTTGATGGTATTGTAAATGAGATTGTTTTCTTGATTTCATTCTCAGATTGTTCATTATTATTATATACAAATGCAACTGATTTTTGTATGTTGCAATGTTGCTGAAATTGTTTATTAGTCATAACGGGTTTTTTGTGGAATCTTTAGGATTGTCTACATATAAGATTATATCATCTCTAAAGAGATAATTTTACTTCTCCCTTTCCAATTTGGATGCCTTTTATTTCTTTTTCTTGCCTAATTTCTCTGGATAGTACCTCCAGTACTATGTTGAATAAAAGTGGTGAGAGGAAAAGCTTTCTGTTTTTCACTGTGGGCATGGTATTAGCTGTAGGCTTTATACATATGGCCTTTGTCATGCTGAGGTAATTTCCTTCTACTCCTAGTTCATTGAGTGTTGTTGGTTTTTTTTTATTCATGAAAGGGTGTTGAGTTTTGTCAAATGCTTTCTGTTCTATTGGTCTTCTATTGAGATGACCATATGATTTTTATCCATCATTTTGTTAATGTGGTGTGCCACATCAATTGATTTTCTTTGTTGAACCTTCCTGGCAATCCAGGGATAAATCCCACTTGGTCATGATATATGATCCTTTAATGAACTGTTGAACGTAGTTTGCTAGTATTTTGTTAACGATTTTTGTATATATGTTCATCAGACATACTGGCCTCTGTTTTCTTGTCTTGTAGTGTCTTTTTCTAGTTTTGGTATATGGGTAATGCAGGCCTCATAAAATGAGTTTTTAACTATTTTTTCCTCTTCATTTTTTAAAAAGATTTTATTTATTTGAGAGAGAGAGGGAGAGAACATGCAAGAGAGCACAAGTGGGGGGAGGGGCAGAGGGAGAAGCAGACTCCTCACTGAGCAGAGAGCCCTATGGTGGGGAGGGCAGATCTCAGGACCCCAAGATCATGACCTGAGCCAAAGGCAGATGCTTAACCAACTGAGCCACCCAGGCACCCCTCCTCTTCATTTTTTTTAGAAAAGTTTAAGAAGCATTGACATTAATTCTTTAAATGTTTAAAAGAATTTACAGGGCGCCTGGGTGGCTCAGTCGTTAAGCGTCTGCCTTCAGCTCAGGTCATGATCCCAGGGTCCTGGGATCGAGTCCTATATCAGGCTCCCTGCTCGGCAGGAGACCTGCTTCTCCCTCTCCCACTCCCCCTGCTTGTGTTCCTGCTCTTGCTGTGTCTCTCTCTGTCAAATAAATAAATAAAATCTTAAAAAAAAAAAATAAATAAATAAATAAAATAAAAGAATTTACAAGTGAAACCATCGGGTCCTGGACTTTTTTTTATTGGACAGTTTTTGATTAGTGATTCAATCTCCTCACTAGTAATTTGTTCAGATTTTCTATTTCTTCATAGTTCAATCTTGGTAGGTTGGATGTTTTTAGGAATTTATCCATTTCTTCTGGGTTATCCAATTTATTGGCATATAATTGTTCTTAATAATCTCTTACAATCATTTAATTTAATATAATCATTTCATCATTTAATTTGGCATCAGTTGTAATGTCTCTTCTTTCCTTTCTGACTTTATTTGAGTCTTCCCTCTTGCTTTCTTAGCCAATCTAGCTAAAGGTTTTGTCAGTTTTGTGTATCTTTTCAAAACACCAACTTGTAGTTTTGTGGATTTTTCCTATTATTTTTCTATTCCCTTTCATTTATTTCTGCTGTAATCTGAAATATTTCCTTTCTTCTGCTAATTTTGGGTTTAGTTTGTTCTTTTTATAGTTCTTGAGGTATAAAGTTAGAGTGTTTATTTGAAATCTTTTTTTTTTTTTCCAGTGTAGGCATTTATCACTATCAACTTCCTTCATATTCCTTCTGCTGCATCCCATAGTTCTGGTATGTTGTGTTTTCATTTCCATTTGTTTCCAAATATTTTCTAATTTCCCCTTGATCTCTTCTTTGACACTGGTTGTTTAAGAGTGTGTTGTTTAACTCCACCTATTTGTGAACTTTCTCTCTGCCATTAATTTCTAGCTTCATTCCATTGTGATAAGAAAAGATACCTGCTATGATTTCAGTCTTCTTACATCTCCTAAGACTTGTTTTTGTGACCTAATATGTGATCCATCCTAGTATCTGTGGTCAAACATGTGAATGCTCTGAGTATGCTTGAGAAGAATGTGTATCCTGTTGCTATTGGGTGGAATGTTCTGTATATGTCTGTTAGGTCCATTTGGTCTACACTGTTGTTCAAGTCCTTCTGACTGGACGTTCTATCCATTATTGAAAATGGGGCACTGAAATCTCCCACTATTATTGTGTTACTATTTCTCCCTTCAGTTCTGTCAATGTTTGTGTTATATATCTGGGTACTCTGATGTTGGGTGCATATACATTTATAATTGTTATATCTTCCTGGTGAATTGATTCTTGTAGTACTATATAATGTCCTTCTTTGTCTCTTTTGACAGTTTTTGACTTGAAGTCTATTTTGTCTGATACAAGTATGGCCACCCCTGCTCTTGTTTGGTTATCATTTGCATGGAATATCTTTATCCATCATTTCACTTTCAGACTATTCATGTCCTTAAATCTAAAGTGAGTCTCTTCTAGACAGCATATACTTGGATCTTGCTTTATATCCATTCAGCTATTCTATATTTTTTGACTGAGAAGCCTAATCAATTTACATTTAAACTAATTAATAGGGAAAGACTATTACCATTTTGTTAACTGTGTTTTATCCAGGATCATTTCTGTCTACAGGCGTCCTCTGACTAGCCATACATTTTTTTATTGGCTTAATGCCATTCTTCTGCTCTGTCTGTTCTTGCACTTCCTTCCCTATGCTCCAAAGGTACCTCTTTTAAAATGTTGCTGTCTTTCAAGGTTCATCTTACATGTTAGACCCTGCAAGGCCTTTAGTTTGCCTCAAACACAGCACTCCTCTATCCTGAAAAACACCATAATGCTTTGGTTGAACCATTCTTATGTCATTCATACTTGTGCTATAATTTAAGCATCTGTTTTATGAAATTATAAGCTATAAGCACTCTGATAGCAAGGACAATGTCTATGATACTGAACAATGGTCAACTGTGAATCCTTGTACTTCCATGTAGTCGGTATTCACTTAGTTCTCTGAATTGAAGTGAGAAGGGCAGAAAGAGCTGTCCTCCATTTGATCCTCCAGGGTGGCTCCCTCTCAAACCCCTCCACTAGTCCTTAGTTAACACTTCCTGCTCCAGCTAGAGGGTTCAAGAGAAAGGAAACCCTTAGCTTTATCATGCTTCAATATGAGGGTTTGGACCAATCATTCAGAATAACCTTAATTACAACATCCTGTGAAAACCATAATAAGAAGTCAATGATACCTTGCCTTCAGGATCCACCAGGAGAAGATGCTTTGCCTGGCCTCCCTGTAGTCCACTTAGCACATACTGGCCAGGAGATGTTGCACTCTCTCGAACCAAAAAGTCCCCATCCTTTACCAAGAGGCTCTCTGCTGCCTTCCTGCTCAGCTTGCCATGGTAGCAGTCTTCATTCCGCAGCTGCTGCTTAATATGGGGCAAAGAATGTGAGCTGGCAGGCTGGGCCGTGGCACCCGGCTGAACAGTTTCTGGTGCTTCTAGAGTCAAAACATAAATAGAGACATCAGCAAGTTACCTCCTCTTCCATGCATTCATTCAGCACATACAACTTGAGGCCCTACTGTGTGCCATGCACTGTTTAAATAATGCTGCTTCTGGAACAAATGGGGTTTTTTGTTTCCAGAACTTGCAACAGGCTTTAATTTAATGGTAGGTCCAAACATTGCCTTTGGCTTCTGTTACCGGGAAAGGCTTGCCCTAGTGCAGGAGTTTTCCTTTCAGATGAGAAATGGAACTGACCCACGAGAACTGCTTTCACAACTGCAGAGAGAGGCACTTTATGTCCCAGGGTCTGTATGTTAAAGAAAAAGAAACTTATGCAGTACCTAGATCACAGATAACTTCTAAAACATTCCCAAACTCTTTGAAAATGCCTACAGTAACTTCAGACTCTGTCCACTTTTTAGTATTTAGCTTTTTATTTTTAAATCAAATTACTAATGTGCTTCAGAGGTGCTTCTGACCCCAAACGTCAAAGCTACGCTGAACCTCACAGCATTCCTATTAAGTGACCACTCTGGTGTTTGTGTCATTCACCTGCATGGACAAAGCAGAGTTAATCAGGTAAAAGAAGGCAAAACATCAGGGAGGTCCTGGTCTGAGGCAGCTCCCCATGGTTCTGCAGAATAAATATCACCTAGATTCGAGGGCAGTGGGGATGAGAAGATATATCCAGGTGGCACTTAATTGTATTATTGATACTCATAGTGATAATAATTATTGTGTAGTTCCCATTTATCAAGTATGATAGGTACTACTCAATGCTGTCTACGTATTATCTTGTCTCATTCTCAAAACTAGAAATGGCAAGGAAATGGATTTTAAAGACTAAATGACTTACCCGAAGTCACACTACTAATATGTTATAAATCTGGACTTTGAAATGAGATCTATTTGACTCTAAAGTCCAAGTTCTTAATCACCACACCCTAAGACCCTTGCCTTGAATATGAATATCTTTCAGTTTTCAAAATTGGTCTAACCACTCTACTTCTGGAGTACCTATAATGGTCCCTAATAGATAGCAAAACTATCAGGATGATATACAGCTATGCAGAAGTAATAACATAAAATTCTTAGGTCTGAATCCAGGTAAAAGTTTTATGTTTTATATGGCAAATTTACTAGGAAAATAACCACAGAAATCAGACTTTGTCTTTTTAAATGCAAAGGATCCTCTGCATAGAAACCAGCTTGCATCTTTATAAATGCAAAGGTGTATTTCCATGTCCTTATGCAAGGGTCTCACAAATGAGGAATCCTCTTAACTCTAAGTTTACAACTTATACGTGGCAATCTCATGAAGTCATTGATATAGGCAACCAGGGCCCTGTAGACATAACCCAAGTCTCCCGTTAATATGTTGTAGTTTTGTCTCTACTTAGGAATTTCTCTCTGCATAGCACAATTATGATGCAGCATTCACAAATATATCTTTTTGAAGATATCATTAGTCTATATTTAAATGGCAGAAAATATTCTCCTCTACTAACAATCAGATCTATCTACTGTTGCCAGAAAACGGCTGAAGAAATGTGTCCAAATTTGATGAATAATAAATGAAGTTGGCCTTAGCGCTGCGCGCTTTCAGGCGTAACAGAGAACTCTGATAAGTAGCTGTGTATGTGTTTGTGTAAGTGAGAGGGAAAGTGTGTGAGTGGAAGACAGATGCTTGCATGCGTGTGTGTGGGCACACACATCGTAATGCATGATGGCTTCCAGTTTATTCTGAGATAAGGGTGGAGAGCTTTTGGACAAGGACAAAACAAAAGAAAAACAGACATTATATCATCTTGAAAAGAGGCAACAGATCATGGGCCAACCTGAGGATATGGACAATATTTTCCTAACACAGTTTCCCAAATTCGTACAATTAACAACATACACTGTACTGGGACATTTCAATCATCTCAGCATTTACTGAAAATCTAATTTTCCTAAAAACAGAATATCTGACAGATTTTTAAAAAATTTTTGTTTTAATTTTAAAAGTTAGGCATGCGACTTTTTTAAGATATGGGCAACACAGAGAAACAAAGAAAATTAACCACCTATGGTCCCATCACCAACTACAACTAGTCTTTAACATTGTGGTGCATTACCTATTATCGACTCCTTTCTTACATAATGTAGACTTTGAGAAAGACAATAATAACTTAAATCTAGTTATTTATATAAAATTGCCCTACAAAATTTAATAAGTTATTGACCTGATATAATTAATAACCTCTTTTCTCAGAAGTAGTGGAGGTTAAGGAAGCAACAAGGAAGGCTGCTCTGTATTTAATTGAGACCTAAAAAAGAAAAAAAAAAGTGATACGAATCATGGAATAAAGTAATCATGTCATCTTGGAGTTCCTATGGCAACTGAAGACATATTGTTCACAATCCGAAATTCAGGAAAGCTCAAGATAGATATGAATATCCACACCCATAAGCAGCTGATGGGCAAAACCTCAGAGAGGAGGCATATGGCTTAAGGGAGAAAAAAATCTGACATGCAAAATCAGATTAAACAATTACAAGTATTCCCAGTGATAAAGAATGAGACATTTAAAGAAACCAATGTGAACTGTGAAGGTAGCATATTGATGCACTCAATTTTTAAAAAGCACATGCAACTAGATATTTTTGGGTAGTAACGATTATATTAGCAAAGGACTGAAAAAAATTAGATGTCCATCAGTAAGGAAATGGTTATATAAACTACGATGTACTCATACAATAGAATACTATAAAACAATTGAAAATAACAAAGCTTTGTTCATCCAACATAGGAGGACATAAATATGTAAAGTGAATATTAACAGACTCGAAGGGAGAAATAGACAGTAACACAGTAGTAGTAGGGGACTTCAATATCCCATTTTCAACAATAGATAGATCATCCAGACAGTAAATCAGTAAGGAAACTTTGGACATAAACTATACATTAGACCAGATTGACTCAGCAGACATTTACAAAACATTTCACCCAAAAGCAATAGAATATACATTCTTCTCAAGTGCATATGGGACATTTTCCAGGATAGATCATATGTTAGGCCACAAACAAGCCTTAATAAATTTTAAAAGAATGAAATAATATCAAGCATCTTTTCTGACCACGATGATATGAAACTAGAAATCAATTACAAGAAGAAAACTTGGGAATTCACAACTATGTGAAAATTAAACAGCATGCTACTAAACAACAAATGGGTCAAAGGATAAATCAAAAGATAAATCAGAAAATATCTTGAGACAAATGAAAATGAAAATACTACACACCAAAATTTATGGGATGCTATTCAAAGGCAGTTTGAGTTCAAAGCAATTAACCCTATATTAAGAAAAAAGAAAGATCTCAAATAAATAGCCTAACTATACACTGAAGGCTAATCTAAAATGAACAAACTAAGCCCAAATTTAATAGAAGAAAAAAATATCCAAGATCAGAGCAGGAATAAATGAAATAGAGAGTAAAAAGACAACACAAAATAGTCAATGAAACTAAGATAAATAAAATAAAGTTTTAGCTATACTTACCAAGAAAAAAAAGAGAGGACTCAAATAAAATTAAAAATGAAAGGGGAGACATTACAAGTGAACCACACAAATACAAAGGATTGTAAGAGACAACTCTGACAATTATATGCCAACAAGTTGGATAACCTAGAAAAATGGGTAAATTCCTAAAAACATACAAACTATCAAGACTGAATCACGAAGAAATAAAAAATCTGAACAGATGAATTAGTAGTAAAGAGATTGAATTACTAATCAAAAACCTCCCTGCAAAGAAAAGTCCAGAACCAGATAGCTTCACAGGTGAATTTTACCAAACATTTAAAGAGAAATTAATTCCAATCTTTCTCAAACTCTTCCAAAAAAATAAGAGGTAACACTTCCAAACTCACTTTACAAGGCCAGCATTACCCTGATACTAAAACCAGACAAGGATACAACACAAAAAAATAATAAGTTACAGGACAATATCCCTGATGAACATAGATGCAAAGTCCTCAACAAAATAGTAGCAAACCAAATTCAACAATACATCAAAAGAAAAGGATCATACACCATGATCAAATGAGATGCATTCTAGGGATGTAGGATTGTTCAACATCCACAAATCAATCAATGTGACACACCACATTACTGAAGGATAAAACCAGATGATCATCTCAAAAGATGCAGAAAAGGCATTTGACAAAATTCAATATCCACTCATGATAAAAGCTCTCAACAAAGTCAGTATGATGGAAATGTACCTCTACATAATAAAGGCCATATACGACAAGACCACAGCTAACATCATGCTCATCAGTGAAAAGCTGAAAGCTTTTCTTCTAGGATTAGGAACAAAAGGATGCCCACTCTCCCCACTTTTAGTCAACATAGTATTGGAAGTCCTTGCCAGAGTAATTAGGCAAGAAAAAAAAATAAAAGGAATAAAATTTAAAAATCATAATTAAATTTAAAAATAATAAAATAAAAATAAAAAGAATAAAAGAAATAAAAATTGAATGGGAAGAAGTAAATCTGTTTCTATTTGCAGGTGACATAATATTATACATAGAAAACCCTAAAGACTCCACCAAAAAAAAAAAAAAAAAACCATTAGCTAATAAATGAATTCAGTAAAGTTGTAGGATACAAAGTCAATCTATGAAAATTAGTTGCATTTCTATACACTAATAAACTATCAGAAAGAGAGAT